CGGTTATTGAGGAAACCCCGGACTTCTGTGAGGTAGTGAGGTGTTGCGCCGTCTTGCTTGAAGTGAAATCGTCCTTCTTGGTCATCTTCGTCTAACTGTGGTATGAGAAAATTTTCGAGCATATCCAGATACACGATACCGTTGATGGTTCTCTTATGGAAAAAGAACGAGCCGTACACTTTAACTTTGCTAAGGGCACAAAACACATTCACCTTTGGGCTGTCACGAACGTGTTCCACAACAGCACTAGAAACACGCGGGCGACCTGGAGATTTGTCATGGCGAACAGAACAACCAGTCTCAACAAAATTCTTGTGCCAAGAGTAAATTGTAGGTCTACTGGGAGGATCCTTGCCATACTGGGTGCGAAAATTTCGTTGAACCATTGTCGCAGATTTCGTTTCTTCAAACCACAGCACACAGCGAGCGCGCTCCGCACCTGTGAAAGTAGCCACTTTGAAATGCACTGCCGCTTGCGCTCGCGGGGACGGAATTCGGTACTACATCACAACGTGAGTCAAACTTGATTTGTTTTGCTACAAAATGACACCCCAACTGATTCTGTAAGCTTTCTGATTAAATTTGTATACACTTAAAAGTTGTAAAGTCCTTTTTGAATCACCTGGTAGTTATGAGCCTACATGGAAGGAAATGATGGTAGCTTAGTTTAATTCCTGTATACTAAATTCAGCGCCGTCATTCAGCGACAAAAGAATGACACATAAAAGCAAGATAACTTAGGACTTCGTCGTTTCATCTTAGCTGACGTTCAAAATGCGTGGTTCAGCTTCAAGTAAGGGAATTTCTTAAATACGTACTGGAAAAAGTATATGTCCTTTATAGGCTATAGAATAAACACGTCGTGTTTCAAATGTTATAGAATTTCAAGATATTTTATGTATTAACTGAATGGTTTAAGCTAAGAATGTAAAGATAAGAAAACTTACGCGTTTATTTGTATAGTACCTACTTATTCCATAAAGTAACTCTTTTGAGGGCAGTTAAAATAAAAAAGTGACAGTGGAACCACGGTTCCGGAGAATTTGACGTAAATACGTCTATACGTTAAGGAATTTTATACATTTGCTTTAGTCTAAATATTTTCTTTATACACGCTTTACAATTGATTAAAGTTTGAGTAAGACAATACTAAACAACCTCTGAAATGCCGGTAAAATTCTATCAGAATGCATAGTGCAACAATCCAGAAGACAGCCATCTTCATACTCATTGCCCTGAGATCCTAAAATCCCTAGGGTGCTGATGAGACGTAAAAGAAGCTATTGAAAGATGTACAGTGAAGAACTTCATAATTTTTACAACTAAAATATTATTTGGGTAATTAGATGATGGAGCAGCTGTCTCAGGTAGCATGCATGGAAAGGATGAGAAATTCATGCAAATTTTTGAATGCAGATTGGATTGGATGTTCCCCGCCTCAGGTGGAGTCCAT